GAAAAATTTCCGTCCATGTAAGTTGATCTGATTTCGTTACTCGCTTTATAGTCCATTTTACACTGTTTTTTCTTTCTATTTTATTTTATTTTCTGTTTTTACATGTTATTTTTACTTATTTTTACTTTTTGTGTTCTATTTTATTTGTTGTAATTTTTGTAAAAAAAAATTTTGGGTGATCCTCACGCTATTGTATTAATATATTTTGCTTTGGCTTTATTGATACAATATCAGAAAGCACTCTGTTTTACGAATATAATCATGTGGGCTGATGAAAAGATTATATCTTTTTTTCCGGTTTTTTAAATAAAATTTCATCCCTTTTTTCTTTTCTTTTTTTAACTGCTGTTTGTTATTTTCTTAGCCTTGAATTGAGTTCGGTGGGAAGAATAAAACTTCATAAATACACACAACATTGATTTTTTTTTTTAAATAAAAAGAGTTTAGTTTAATTTGTCAAATAATTTAGGAAAAAGTGACAATCGAATTTCTTCTTCTGTTTCCTTTTAATTCCTCTGTAATCACGAAATAATAATAATTCACGAGATTACACAGGGAGGGGTGTGCGATTGAATGAAGAGGAAACTCCATATCATAAAAGCAGTAATCTCGTTCGTGAAACTGCAACTTTGTAACTGCAACAAGTTTTTTCTTTTGTTTGAAGGGTAAACTGCAGATTTATTGTCCCGTTGTCGTTACTAGAAGAAGTGAGAGAATTTACGTCCGCCCTACTCCTTGTCTAGCGTCCATTTCGAACAATTCAGCAAATATCGTTACTGTTTTGAAAAGAAAAAAGTAAGAAGAATGGAATATCTTAAAGAAGTATCTTTATAGCTTTGAATCAACGACTTCGAAGAAAAAATAAAATCGAAATTTCATAATAATCTTAGCACTAGAAAGACTGAAACTTAGTATATACCTATATAGCCGTAAAGCAGTCAAAATAAATGGATTGTGAAAGAATAGCTAATGTGCTCAAGAAAATTGTGTAAAACTAATTTTCAATATTTTTTATATTATTTACAATTATATAACAAGTTATTAGTAAATATTAATAGTAAAAAAAATTATATGTTGTACAAAATGTCACAAAGTTCTAAGAAATTGTGTCATTATATACATCATTGTTTTTCAAATTGAAATTAAAAAGCAGTCAAAATGACCTCTCTTGGGCAATCTAGTGCTAAAATAAAATATGAGCTTCGTAATTTAAGTTATAAATTTATCGCATGATGCCCCTCAAGATAGTGTACCGAGAGATCAAAATGAAGATCCAGTTATAATGAAAATGACATTTATTTAAATAACAGAAAGCTTTTTGCAATTTCTACTTAAAAACAAGACTTCATTCAACTTCGCAATTTCATCTGTTCAAACGATTGTTCAATAGTCTGATTAATTAATGACCAGGAACAGAGCCGCGATGGCTCAGGGGTTTAAAGTTTTCGCCTTCCAATGCGGTGAACCGAGTTCGAATCCCAGCGATGGCTGGTCGGTACGAATCCGCATCCAGCTTGCACCGACCACAATGCTGACATGAAATATTCACAGTGGTAGACGAATCATGAGTTAGATTCCCTTCGCCGTCAAGCTAACCGCGGGAGGTTCTCGTGGTCTTCCTCTCCATGTAACTCAAATGTGTGTTAGTTCCCTCAAAATGTCCTCCACGAAGGCAAAATTTCTCTCAATACTTGATCCAGGAGTTCCCGTGTCTTCTGGATTTGGTTCAAAATTACAACGTTACGGAGGTGAAGATTAGTAGTCGCAAACCCAAAATATTGGATCGGCTGTTCAACGACGGTTATGAAATATAAAATAAAATGACCGGGAACAGGACTAACAGGACTGGAAAAACAAATTCCCTGTGTTTTCCCTGTACATATTCTATGCAATATATTAAGAGGAAAAACACAATCACTGTGCTGTTATATGAGATGTATTGGTCTAACTATGTTAGTTATAATTGCTGAAAAAACTTACGAGAAAAAAGGAACAGCTGAACATACTTAAAAGAAATAATGCTATAGTCAATGAAATAGTTTAATATAGCTTAAATATCACCCTTGAATATCCATTAGTCATTATGAGTGGTTACCATTTTTTTAAAAACGAAAATAAGAAACAAAATTTCCTGTATTTTCCTAGTTTCTAAAGAAAAACTCAGAATTCCCTGCATTTTCCCTGTTAATTTAGGATATGTTTAAGTTCCATTTATTTTACTGGTATTCCCTGTGGAGTTTCAATCTTGTCTAATTAAGCAACGGGAAATTCTGTTGTCATTGTTTCTTACCTCGTAATGGGTCGTTCACTTTTGATCAACAGAAACTACATTTTCACTTTATACGGCCTGAATCAGTCAACTCCAAAATACACTTCCTATTTTCTAGTACTGTTTTATTATTGTTTGAGTTAGCCGATTTTTTTTATGACTGTTACAACATAAACCCAGTTGTCACACGAAAAAGAGACAGGCCGAATTTGAGATGGATAGATGGCCTAGAAAGAAAAAAACCTTTAGATCTTAAACACTGAAAGCTGGGAAACACTAGCAGGAAAAGGGTTAGCCTGGAAAAAACTTCTTGGGAAGGCCAAGGCCCACCCTGGGCAGTCGAACCATTGATGAGGATGATGATGATGTAATAACATAAACAGAAAAATCTTTCTTCGCCTTGAAGAAAGCTATCTTTCTTCACCTTGTTGAGGTTCCCTATGAGGGGCACGAATGAACAAGCATCAAAAAATAATTATTTTTGAAGCAAATAAATATTTAATATAACAAAGACAGATAAAGAATAAATTTAAGGGTGGCTAAAGAATTAATTTTCTGTAGTGAAATTGAGTTATATAAACTTAAATTGTGCAGATTTATGAAAGTTATAAGTTTAATAGATGCAGTCCACTAGAATATATTTCGATGTAAATTCTATAATCGACCTAATTTAACAGTAAAAGACAGAGAAGACACTCTCTCTATGATGTATATATTTTATTTTATAACCGTCGTTCAACAGCCGACCTAATTTTGAGTTAACGACTACCAATGTTCAAAGCCGTATCCTTGTAATTTTAAACCCAATCCAGAAGACAAGGGAACTCCTGGATCAAGTATTGGGAGAAATTTTATCCTCGTGGAGGACTTCTTAATGGAACTAACCCGCATTTGCGTTACATGGTGGGGAAAAGCACAAAAACCTCCCATGTTTAGCTCGATGGCAAAGGGACTCTAAGCCATGATCCGTCTACCACTGAGGACCTTCATAGTATATAGATGTTTTCGAGAACTTCATTTGAGTATCACCTCTTTGAAAAATCTCTCGATTATCATTTTCTGACTCATATTTTTTCTTTTTTTTCCCGCCAATATCAGCAAGAAAATCATCTCCAGAAAAACAATTCTGGAGAAGGGCTTAAATTCAGATTTTATGTTTGCAATGGTAAAAGCTTGATAATGAGGGCAACTTCATAAATTGAAACTCCTTTATTTTGCATTAGTTGTCAAGCAGTCATTAACGCTTTCATACAGAGGTGATATAATTGATGTGAACAACGGGGAAGAATTGTTAGTAAAAATGCTATGATTGAGAACATGGTAATTATTCATAACTGTCTCTGATGCTCTTGCGTAAGTGCCCTATCCTTTCCTTTGTACCTAATTTACAAAAATTAAATTCTCTACGTCGCAAATTCTCTTTCTCCTTCATTAAGAATTTTCGATTAAACTTTTCTTCCGTGGAATGGCGTCCTCTTAAGAAACCTCTCACCAGTCGAAGGAAAATTCTAAATATGCCTTTAGTCATCTTAATATAATTTTCACTCATAAACTAACGGCGGATTTTTACCTATTGGGCAGTATTTTTCCATACACGTAAAATGTTATCAGAATTTGAATAATTTTTTAAGCCATCGTCCAATCAGAATTTAAGATACAAAGCATGTGGTATTTTAAATTCTCTTTTAATTTTTTCTAAGAAATTAACCTAAAACAGTTCTGCCGTTAGCAGTTGTTGAAGGATAGTTAAATAGCTTACATTTAACTGTAAGATTCTATGTAAAATCTTAATTATCAGGTGATACTATACAGCTTTATTGTTTTAATGCGGCTGAAACCGGTTTGCACTTGTTTACGTTCGTGTATCAATGGGTTAAATTAGACGATATTTAATATAAATTCAACGATTCGATAAATTCGACGATATATTATATAAATATAGAATATTTATTATATCATGTATTATATTAGTATATTATAATAATTCCACCAAATTATTAAACGCACTGTAGTTTTTTAATAATGACATGTTTTGCACGAGTTTATAGGCAATACTTTCATATTCAAACATACATATAATGGGTTTTTATTAAGGAGATTTTTTATGTACTTATTATTTGTATTTATTTTTAACGTGATGCATTGCAATGTTAAAGATTAATACACGAACGTAAAGAAGTGCAAACCGGTTTCAGCCGCGTGAAAACAATAAAGCTGTATAGTATCACCTAAAAACTAAGATTTTACATAGAATCAATCTTACAGTGAGTTTAATAATTTGGGCAGGGACCGTATATCATCAAAAGTTTGTTAAATACAGAGAAAAAAAAATTTAAAAAAAACCTAATATCCAAGATGGCGGGGAAAAAGGCCTCTTAAAAAATCGACAATAAAAGTGTGTGCTACACCCGCTAAAATAGAGAAATTATCACTATGAGGAAATGAAACTGCGGAATGCTGAAAGTTTAGCAGAACAGAAAGTGACTGTTGCGATTTTTTTATGGATTTTTAATTTCAAACTAGTAAGGCATACAATATTTCAACTTCATTTTTACCCCAGGATTCTAAATAAAAAAAATTATCTAATCATATCAATTTGTGAATAGCGCATTGTCTTTTAATTTCAGTTCAAATCTTCATTAGCGAAGCAAATTTACTGTAACTAATGAAATTTTATAAATATTTTGTAATAATGAACCAAAAATAAAACGGGAAGAAAAATACAAGAACCTTTTACAATCAATTCATTCTTTATTTATATAACATGACAATATAATTGAACGAAAGGTCTAAACAAATACTATATTTACAATAACACTGTAACACCGAGCATGACTGTGGAATAACCATTACAGTGTTAAAACACTATATACAAAAAAGAGGTAGTGTAGAAATCATTACATTTCTTTTTAATTCACTCGAAATAAGTGTAAACACATTTTAATAAAATCATACAAATAAATCTATACTATTTCACTAATTATCAACTAATTGAAAAATCCAGCTTTTCGTAAATGTCACTTTGCTACCTGGATGGAAAAACAATCTGACTTTTTTAAGGCTCATTAAAATAAATCAAGCTTATTGTGTATTTGCTCATTAGCCTAAAATTATTCAGGCTAGTTGTAAAATGCATAAAAAGTGTTAGGTTGATACTAGATACATTTTCGATTAGGCTGAAACGCATTTTTCAATTGACCATTTCATTAAATAAAAACTTTATATATATATAATTTTTTTTGTAAATATAAAAAATAAAATGAACTTAAATTTGTGTCATTATAAAAAAAAATGAAGAGCAACAAACTGCTTAAAGAATATGTCACAATTCCAATTATATGTTACAATTTCAATTAAGTGCCGAACCCTGTTTACGTAACAGCATCATGTCATTATTCACTGGTCATGAGATGAAAATTTTCATTGAAAAATTGTATCAGAATGACACACACAAATTTCGTCAAAAAATTTATACACAGAAAATTTTGTCAAAAAACTTCAATCTTCGTTACTTCGATCTCTAACAGAGCCTGAATTTTCTTATCACTTGGACAAAGAATAAGCCTTATTTGTTTCGTGTTGTTATGTTTTGTCACTTAAATAATAAATTATATAAAATAAACAAATATATTCCGTTTCGTTAGATTCTGTCACATAATGGAACTTAATTAAATTTGCATACAGAACAGAATGGAAAAATTCGGACACTCGAAAGAAAAAAACAATGAGGTAATTCTAAACTCTTTGTAAACGAAATAAGCTTCTCAAAACAAAGCGATTTCACAACTCACCACACTTTTACTCTCTCCGTTACCATGGTAACCTCAAATCTTGCTCCTTTTTTTCTTCCTCCGCCAGTATATTCCGAATTCTAACTTAAAATGTATTGCCGTGGGGAAAAAAAAAAAAAAGATTTTCCGTAGCCCTGGCAACGGAGAGAAGAAAATGTGACAAGTGGAAAAATCTTGTAAATTTAAGACACCTATTCTATTTACAAACAGTGAATATAGTATTTTGTCGATCAACGACAGTTGCAGAGAAAATTTAGAAGCAGTTATAAAGACTTCATATTTACTATTTTGGATAGAACAACGGATAAGCTTCGAAAAGATTCTCATTGAAAGTTTGTGGCTCATACAATGTCTCTGAAACACTTATTATGCACACCATCTTTCCAAGTCTTTGAGAGAGCAGCTCAATGGTATTGAGTTTGGTAACAGAGTTTGAGATCCCAGGTTCGATTCTCAGCTTGGCCTCACCAAATTCAATGGGATATTGTTACAACTGGTCTCAGGGTCTGATGAACTACCGGTAGCTATTAAACCCTCATTCATGAGTGTGTGGGTCAGCGTGTGCCTCCTGAGGTCGCAGTTCCTCCTGAAGACTTTTCCGCAGGAGTCACAGTTGTAGGGTTTGATGTCTGTGTGTGTGAGGAGGTGGGTCTTGAGGTTGCTCCTCTGGTTGAATGTGCGTCCACATGTGGGACACTTGTGGGGGGAGTCCTCCATGTGCAGGATCCTGTGCACTGCCAGCGTCCTCGACTGACAGAACCCCTTGCCACATTCCGTGCACTTGAAGGGTTTCTCCTTCGAGTGAATATACCTGGAAATCAACAAGGATTTGCAATTAGTCAATAAATAGAAAATGCATAATTTTATTTTCATAAATCCCCACCATAATATTTATTTCAAAGCAATCTGTACAAGATATTGCATTTAACTCTTAACGCTAAATCTTAAGCTTATCTACATTACTTGAACAAGCAATTTATGCAACTGTAAGACAAAATCTAATGAGTGCTCTGCATGCAAAGATATCTATATCTGCATGCAGATATAGATATCATATAAGTATGCATGCAAAGTTATATACGTATATGCAAAGTTATATAAGTTATATATCATATAAGTATGCATGCAAAGTAAAATAAGATAAGTATGCATGCAAAGATATCTATATCTGGAGCAGGCAATTTATGTAGCCGAAACACAAAATCTGATAAGTGTTGTATATCCATAACTAGAGCACGCTATTTATGCAGTTGAAAGACAAAATCCGATAAGTGTATGCATGCATCTACATTACTTGATCAAGCAATTTATGCAGCCGAAAGCCAAAATCTGATAAGTGTATGCATGCAAAAACTAGAGCACGCAATTTATGTAGTCGAAAGACAAAATCTGTTAAATGTATGTAGGCAAAGGTATCTATTCTAATGCTCGCAATGTAGGAAGCCGAAAGACAAAATCAGATAGGTGTATGCAAAGATATCTATAACTAGAGCACGCAATTTATACAGACGAAAGACAAAATCTGATAAGTGTATGCATGCAAAGATATCCCTAACTAGAGCACGCAATTTATGCAGCCGAAAGACAAAATCTGATAAGTGTATGCATGCTAAGAAATCCATAACCAGAGCACGCAATTTATGCAGCCGAAAGACAAAATCTGATAAGTACATGTATGCTAAGATATCCGTAACTAGAGCACGCAATTTATGCAGCCGAAAGACAAAATCTGATAAGTGTATGCATGCAAAGATAACTTGAGCACGCAATTTATGCATATTTATAATAATTGCATAATCGCAAATTATATATATATATATAT